CACTAAAACAGCCTCCATCTTTCACAGTGGAGGACACAGCGAGGGTCAGTTTTGTGCAAAATGTAATGCATCTTAACTTAAGTCAATGATGTGAGAAATTTCTGAAATTGTTGCAATACAGTACAAGTGACAATTCTATTCCTAATTCATAGACAATGGGTAAAGTATGGGAGCTGAGAATTGTAGTCCAAATGTCCTGATTTTTAGACATTTATTTTTTAAATAAAAAAGACACACCTTAAAAATAGTATGATGATGGGCTAATTTTGAAAGAGATACACATACAGTCTTACAGTGATCCTTGGTAGCAAAGATAAGCTAGTGCAGGGATGGGATCCAAGGTCTTGGGGAAGATACTATGAGCACTGTGAGGAAGTCGGGGAGTAGAGCATGCTCCATATATACAGAATTTTCTGTGAATTTGGCTTTGAAACTGCAGGCGTTTCTACAGAGCATATGCAAAATGAGACTTTTCATAGGCCAGGTATAGGCAGATTTTGATGAGAACAGCCAAAAAACACATTCCTTAATACTGATGACCCCTGCCAAATTACAAAACCCTTCTCCAAGGCAGGGCGGTACTATAGCCTCTCAACAGAATGATGGAAATGGATTGTTGTTCTTTAACATGGGCTAAACAACATATTTTTCCTTGAATATTGTTATGATGAAAGTTGAACCATTTTAGCAAAAACTTCCTCAAGAAAGTTCAGCCTGAGGCAAACTACCGGCAGTGAAAATTTCAACCCAAAAGGTTACTGTTCGGTACATTTATAAGCAATTGAAAATGGTCTTCTCAAGGAAAGTGTCAGACAAACCTTTATCTTCTGCTGCTGCAGAACCATTTGGATTCTGAATTTCCTGCTATAATGAAATGAAGTGAGGATGCCTAATCATGTCCGACCTTACTCTCCAGCAACTTTGAAAACCAAGATGGAGAAGACAGCAGCGAGCCAACCTTAAAGACAGTTCAAACCTCCAAGATGTTGAGATGAGAAGCAGCATGAAGAATATCAGACTGCCTTTCCCTAGCCTTGATAATATATGAGAACCTGGAGAAGCAGAGGAGAATGGTATGGTAGAATGGCATCTCTCCCATCTCATTGTCCTACTTCTGAAATGCGTTCCCTAGGGAAAGGGATTAAACCTTCATTCCTCCTCCAGCCCTCAAGCTGGAGGCTCCCTCTTCAACGAAGTGGCTCCTTTCCCAATATAAAGTTATGGGGTTCTCAGAGAAGGATATAACAATATAAAAACATAAGAATTGCCATTTACTGGGCCAGACCATAGTGTCACTTTGCCCAGTGACATGTATCACACAGCACCCCCATATGTTTCCCCAGTATGGTCCCATCTCCAGGCAGAGTACCACTGGGAGGCATCCACTGGCTCCTTGGACTCATTCAAGGGGCAGTGGACACTGCCTGGTGTACTCTGCTCAGTGTTCCCCCTTGGCACACTTCTTTGACTGTCGCTCCCATCCCTGCCTTTTTTCATCATTTGTCCCAAGTAATCACTTGTTGCCTTCTCAGTAGCCTCCCTGTTTAAGGGAGGCTAATAGTTTACTTGGTGGGCATTGCCCCATGAATCTTGTAAAGCAACAAATAGACCAGTGTCACATAGTGGCAGAGAGTGGATGTTGAAAGGGAGAGTAAACTGGGTGTGACCAAGATTTCTTCCACTATTCCTCTCTCAATAGCAGCCTCCAACATTTAAGGTCTAGGAAGTTCTGATTCATAGGCTGTGCCCCTAACTCCTGCGCTTAGTAACTACTTTCCTCCAAGAATCTGTCCAATCTCTTTTTTAAATCTGGCTAATCTGTCAGCTTCCACAACATCCGGTGGCAATGAGTTCCACAACTGAATGACATGCTGTGTGAAAACAAAGTTTGGTTCATTTTAAACCTGCTAGTTTCATTTTGTGACCCTTAGTTCTTGTACTCAGAGAGACAGTAAATAATAAATCCTTATTTGCTTTCTCTTTGCCATCCAGTATTTTGTAAATGCTTATCATGTCCCTGCCCCCAAGCATCCCTTTTTCTAAACTGAATAGGCCCAGCTTCTTTAGTCTCCTCATACAGAATTCCCTCCATGCCACTCATCATCCTTGTTTCCCTTCTCTGGACCATCTTGAGTTCTTCTATATGTGTTTTGGGGACCAGAACTGGGCACAGTATTCCAGGTTTGGGCACACCACGGATTTAGAAAGGGGCATGATGATGCTTTCTATCAGGTTACCATTGCAGGTTACCATTTCTTCTTCATAAGCCCTTAAAGGAGTCTCCTTTTCTTTCTCTTTCTGCCAAAGGAATGAGACCCCAGGAGTGAGGACTAAGAGGAGGGGCTGGGTTGCTCATCTTTCCCCAAAAAGAAACAGAGCCCTTCACATGGATGCAGTCTGGTGACAGAAGCTGAGAGGAAGAAAGCTTCCAGATGTTCATCATCCCCCTGCTCCCCAAGTTCTTCATGCCTCTTGAGGCTGGTGCCAGAATCTGAGAACTTCTGCCACTGGACTCAGAAGACACAAAGAACTCAGGGATGGGGGCAGCATTGCCAGGTCTTGTCGTGGAAACACACGCAGCATACTTTTGGGTCAGGTCAGCAGAAGCTTTTATTCAAAAGAAACTACAGCTGTAGGGGGGACTCCAAAGTGACATGGATCTCCCAAGCACTTGGAAGGGATTCTCCCCCAAGAGCAAAATCAGGAGGCTTATATACTTTTTAACAGTCACTTACAACTCACGTGATCATATAGTGAAATTAGCTAAAACATCACTTCATTACTTCTTTGCTGTTATCAGGATGAGAACTATGGAGGAGACAAAGGGAGAAATAACAGTCCCTGCCTGCACCTGGAAATCAGAGTTGTACATACTTTTTGCTATCTTCAAGGCCGCGGTGAGCGAAGCAGTTGCAGAGGAGTTACAAAGAACAAACACTTTCTCTTATCTGTTCTACTATACAGAGCCAGCAATTCTCCACAAAGCGGTTATGTCATCTTATAACTAAAATAATCAAAGTTTAAGGCATATATTTTTTCTGATTCCACAGTTCCCCCCCCTTTGAGACTATTTAGTCTCACTTTACCCTTAAATTTTTATCATATTTACTGAAAAATTATCATATTTACTGAAAAATATGCAAAAAACTATGCAAATAAGCATGGAAATAATTCTTCATATTTAATTTATATTACTCACTGTAAGATGCCAGGAGTGAGAGAACTAAGTCATCAAAGTTGAAGCATTTCTTTATTTTGATGCAAGGAATCATAAGAAAGTGTTGACAGCAAGCCCAAAGGTCAGTTAAGACTCCCTGGGAGTGTCTACATGTGCATTTACTGTGCATTAAATTTACTGTGCTGTAATTTACTGCGCAGTAAGTGGGTTTATGTTGGTGCCTACATGTGCAGGCATTAAAACACAGTAACACTGTGTGTGTGGACCAACTTGGGACTAAAGTTAGTCCCAAGTCAGTCCACGTACACAGTGTTACTGCACAGTAAGGCATTTACATATGTGTTACTGTGCAGTAACTAATCGAGCATAAATTTGATACCTGCATGATGCAGGTATCAAATTTACATTCAAGTTGACATAAGAGATTATAGGTGGTGGAAGACCGGGGTTAACGGGGCTTAGCCCCCCCCCATATAATATTTCCCCCCACCACTTATGCATAAGTTGCCATATTTACTGTGCAGTACAGGCATGCACATGTAGATTCCTCCAGGACTGCACAGCAATTTTTCGGTTTCTGTGCAGTGATGGTTACCGCACAGTAAATGTGCATGTGCAAACGTGCCCCCTGACAGTTACTTGGTTTTTGTATATGGTGCATCAAAATTATCCCACACTTTGAATACTTTTACTCTGATGGATGGTACCAGGGTTGAAATCATCATATTAATACAATCATTATTGTACATCTGGCAAACTCTGCATCTATGCTAAGAGGTTTCCAGAACACCAGCCTACCCGGGACACAAAATGTGAACATGCCTGCGTGCTCGCCTATATCAGTTATGGATTATGGTGTATAGACTTTACACATGTAGTCATCTATTACATTTAAAAACCCCACTGGACTACTGTATAAACCAGATTCAACATTTAATGTTTGTTTTAATGAATCCCCTATATCTCCTAGGTGACTCGCAACAGTCTCCTGGAGATTTAGATCGAATCCACGCCAGGGCAGTCCTGGAGGGTTGGCAGCCCTCCCCCTCCGAGGGGCTGGGCTTCTCCTGCAGGGAGGGCACCGCATTCCTCCCTCCCCAGCACACAGCGGGCAAAAGCAGAGCCTCAGCCGGCAGGTCTGGAGGCTGCTGAAAAGCGCGAGCCCCGGCGCAAGGTGGGAGGGGGGACGCGGCAGGGCCGTG